AAATGACATCCCCTCCCAAGACACAATCCTAAAGTGCCACATTAGCCCATATGGTAGGTCTCCAGAAGCCAGGCTTTGCCCCTTAGTGCCACAGTATTCTTCAAGTTATTCCCAGAAAGAAGCTATAGTAAGGTGAAGTCCAGAGTTTTGGGGAAAGAGAGGAGTTTATGGTGGCATGGGACCTGGAGGGAGGTGGGGCAGGGATCACTGGAAGAAGAGAAAGGGGGTTATGTTACTGTGAGACTGTAAGGGATATTGAATGAGCTCTTGATGTATTTAATTTCCCTCCTCAGACTGAAGTAGCCATTTTTGATGGGGACAAACCAGTTAGATCCCTAAGAGTAGAGGGGTATCACCCTTTCTTTTCAGAGGCTCCATACTAAGACTTTTCACCTTTCTTCCTAAAGTTCTGTGCTTGGCTAGGGGTGGCATCAACATGCCTGGACTTAACCTGATAGTTGACGCTCCTCAATGCCTCTCCCTCAAGTGTTTTTTTTTTGGGGGGGGGAGTGTGGGTGGGTGCGGCAAAGATATCACAATGCTCCTTCCTGGATCACTACCTCAGACATTTGGGTTGAATGGTATAGAACTCCCTTCTCTAACCACTGAGAAGTGAAAGGGCTGAGAGGAAAGGGGATTCTTCAGTTGGCAGGTTTCTTAGAGAGTGATCCTTCCCCCCAAATCAGGTGTGTGTATAGAATTATGGGGGTCCTGGTGACCCCCAGGATCCTTCTTTTATGGAAAGTTATCACCAAAGCCAAAGGGTGCCCTTGATTTCATGTTCTTTCCTGAAGTGATGAGTGCCCCAAATCCTTGTTGGTGGGCAAAGGCATAGGCTGAACGTCGGGAGCTTGTACGTCTCAATGTCATCCGGGCTGGGGGTGTTACTGGATTCTTCATGCGTTCATAGAGCTTATTGAGAACGTAGAGTCCAAGAGCAAGGGGTGAAAGGCAGGAAAGAGACGAGTTTTTCATAAGTAAAGGGGCTCACAGGCAACATGAAGCCCTAATTAGGTCTCAAGGGCAGCACAGACCAGTTGGACAGACACAAGTAACAGGGAAAAATCAATCACAGGTTACAAGTGTCAGGCATTGTGATACATTGAAAAGAATCAGGTTTATAGTCAGAGGACCCAAGTTCAAATACTTCTTCTTACTACTTGTATGTTACATATGCATTGCACTTTTGATTAATAAGTCACTTAATCCCTCTGGGTTTCAGTTTTTCATCTGTCAAATGAGGGGGTTGTACTGGATGATCTCCAAGGTCCCTTCCATCTCTAAATCTACAATCTTATAATCGTAACATGTTAGGCATCACCTAGTCCAATACATTTGTTTTACAGATGAGGCCCAGAAAGGGGAATTGACTTGCCTGGGGTTATGTGATGAGTCAGTTACAGGGCCAAGATTTGAAGTCAGGACCACTGACTTCCCAATGCAATGCTCTTAAACTGCTTTGGCCATAGTTATAGGCTAGGGTCGCAGAGGAAAAAGCTACATGAAGCATGGGTTGCAAGAGACATGTGCCATGAAGGGACATAGTCCACAGAGAGACAGAGAAGATGAGAAGAGATGGGCCTTGGGAAAACATGAGCACCAGAGGCCACAAAGACATCTGAAACACAATGTTTCCCTGGTCTTTAAACCAAGCAACTTTCCCTGGGCTGTCCTCTTCCAGCCCCAGGAAGGCCAGGTGTTCTGGGTTATGCTGCTTCATTCAACCAGAGGTTCAGCTCTAGGGTCTTAGAATCTGAATCTACCTCTTAGAGGGAGTTGGATATATGAAGGAGAAGGGGTGCCTTGGAAACTAAAACCTTTATAGTACAATGGGATCAATACACCAACATATGCTCCTATTCTAGTCAGTCTGGGCTTCTCATTGAGAAAAACCCAGAAACAAACAAAAAACCCAATCCTGTTACTTTTGCCTTAGAGCCCTACCACATTCTGTAGTACCAAAGTGCCTGCTGGGTCAATGGATAAAAGACCTGGCCTTTATGGGATGAGGGCATGGCAAAGAAAATGGGGACCTGGGGTACCAACATATCTGTCACCTCCCTACCCTTCTTTTGCTCACCTTTTCAACTTCGGTGGGCCAAAACTCCATCTGGAGGAATCTGTATATGATCATGGGAAGTGCACAAAGGGCCACAGTGAGAATTGTTAGCCACACCTGAGGCAGGATCAGGGTGTTCCGAGCTGTGCCTGTAACCCCACCCCACACACACACAGAGCCTGAACCAAAGTGCTTGGGAAGGGAGGGTAGAAGTTGAGGACAGAGAATATACTAGTGATGGGGTAGTGACAGTACTCCATGGGTAATATTTGTACCCAGTGTCAGGGTAGGGAGTAACTATTCTGTGGAACATACGGTGGAGACAAACATTCTTGAGGTTTCCTTCACACTCTAAATTGAATCTCAACTGAATTCTCTGTATACTCATAAACCCACCATTAACTGTTATGGTTGCCTTTGTCTTGCCTGTCAAAACATAGTGCAAAAGAGAAGACAGGGAAACTTGCAACTTCTTCATGAACCCAGGAGTATCAGCTATGAAAATAAAGGTGATACAACATGATGATTATGGATGTGTTTTGCATGATCACACATGTATAACCTATACTGAATTGCTTGCCTTCTCAATGGGGGTGGAGGGGTGGAGGAGATGGAGAGGGAGGAAGGGAGAGAATTTGGAACTGAAAGTTTTAAAAATGAATGTTAAAAATTGTTTTTGCATGTAACTGGTAAAAAATAAATTACTAAGTAAATATATTTTTAAAAACCCAAATAAACAACCAAAAAAGGCTGTTAAAAAAAAAGAAAAGAAAGGTGATAAAGAGGTCAGGCAGGGTTTATGCTCTTGCAGAAGACTAGAATGAGGAAAATGAGTTAGTGAAAAGGAGCAAAAATAGTAGAAGATAGGCAAGGTGTTTACATTCCATTGAGTACCAGGGATGATTTAGGTCTTAAGACTCTTGAGAAACTTAATAACTCTTTAACTGCCTTCATTGTTGGAAAAGGGGGTTGCCGAATATTAGTATGAATGAGGGATAACTGATGGGTGCTTTTGGTGCTCTGTTGTGATCCTTACAATGCTGAGATCTAAAGGAAGGTTTTCATCATGGGTAGACCCCTGTGGAGGGTTTTTGGGCAGACATACAAGAGACACAGAATAAAAATGCTTGGCTGGGTTTGTGACCTTCACCTACAGATTTGAATATCCACACCAATGAGATCACAAGTACTGTGAAGTAACTTTATGTTTGCTATTTTTATCCCTCCATATCATCTTCAGAAAACTTCCAAGTATGCTTGCTTTAAGGAGAGGAAGGGAATGGTGCACTGCATTCCTTTCTACAGGGGGAGTCAGGGGAGGAAAAACTGAGCAGAGCCACAGAAGTGATAAACTGGCTCCTCTAGGGCAGGGCTTCTTAAACTCTTTCCACTGGCAACCCCTTTTCCTTTGGGCAGTATTAGTTGGTGTTGCATGGCCTGAGGGCACGTGCAGTGTAAAGTGCACATGCTTTGTGTTCAGAACCACGGCTGCAGTGAAGTTACCCTGATGCAACATGGCAAGTGCTGCCAGAAACACCTCTGATTCATTACACGTTTTGGTTTTGTTTTTTTTTTGGTGAGACGATTGGGGTTAAGTGATTTGCCCAGGGTCACACAGCTAGTGAGTGCTATGTGTCTGAAGCCAGATTTGAACTCAGGTTCTCCTGATTCCAGGGCTGCTGCTCTATCCACTGCACCATCTAGCTGCCCTCAAACGTTTGATTTTTAATTAAATTTTGTTGTGTGTTTAGTAATCTTTTACCGTTGCTAAATTTTTTGCCACCCCATGTGGGTTCGTGACCCACAGTTTAAGAAGCTCTGCTCTAGGGTCCATTGGAGAAAAGGAACAAGAGCTGGCCTAGGATTCAGAACTATGTTGAGGGGGTTATAATACAACAAGACCCTGTAGCCCAATGGGGTAAAAGTCAGTTAGCACTGAGTCTCTCCTTCCCTATGAAATCCCTTTCCTTTGACCTAAGGCCTGTCCCAAGCCCCATCCTGAGCTCTACCCAGGCTCACCCATGAATTGGAAGGTGTGAGGGAAGAGCAGACACAGGCCATCACTGTAAAGGAGGAACATGAGGCTGAAGTACAAGGTCAAGCTGCCCCAAATGAAGAACTGGTTCACAGCTGTCCAGTAGGCTGTCTCCAGGCCCATCTGAAAATCATCTACCTCAGGGTCAGCCCCTTTCCTTCCTTTGCTGTAGGCCAGCCCCCTGCCCCATCAATCTCCCTCAAGCTGGCACCCCTCCCTCCCCTACCTTAAGTCTCCCTTCCTCCCTTCCACCTCCACCTCTACCAGCACACCTGTACAGTCACCAACATGAGCAGGGAGGTCTGCACTATTGTTATACCGAGAAATGAGCGAGTTGACGACCCAAGCTAATTTTAAATTGTGGACTTTATTAGCGCGCGGCTGCCAGGGATATTCACATCCAAATCAAGCAGCACCCATCAGGGGTTGAGCTAGGGTTTATATAGGGAGTATACAGGACAGGGAGGGGGATGGATCTTTGAAGTCTGGCAAGAGGAAGAGGTTTTTTGGGGGCTGGTCAAGGACACCCTTCTCCCTCTGTGTAGATATGATAATGCTGTGCAAACTTTCTCACAATGGAGGCTTCCAGAGATATGATCTGAGGGCTGTGGCCTGAGCAGCCAGATAAGGGTCTTGCTAAGGAATCTGGAGGTTTCCAGAGATATGATCTGAGGGCTGGAGCCTGAGCAGCCAGATAAGGGTCTTGCTAAGGAATTTGGAGTTTTCCATGGCCTAAAGGGTTCTACTACCTAAATGGTAAAATAATGTTCTGCATTACACTATCAGGGCAAAAGACTGGTAGTCAGAGATGTCCTTCCCATTGCTTTGCATTGAGTTTGTAAGTAGATCCATAGGTGATGAAGAACAACACGAAGGAGCTGTAGATGCCATACAATATACACTTCACAAATTCCTTCTTGTTGAAGTAGAGGTTGTATTGGCCTGGTTCATATAGCTCTGGGAATCGAAGGCTCCACAAGTCATTCACATCCTGGAAGCATGGGTTTGGAGCCATGAAGGTAAGAAAACCACATTCTAAGGATCTTTTCCAGGCCCTAAGAATCTTTCCTGCCCACCTTCCAGGGCTGAAGAGAGGTTCCCCCTCCTCTCCCAACCAAGGTGTATTCCCACCTTCAGGAATATTACCACTTAGGATCTAGGGATCTACATTCCAGGATCAGACAGCTCCCTAGGGCAGAAGTCTCCTTCAAATCATGATACTAGGAATTATTCCATAAGGAGAATCTGAGGAAGCAGGAACAAGAAAACAGAAAAGTCCCCATAGTCCTTCTTTAAGCCCTGTGCCCTCAGGTCATACTGAAGTTCAAAGCAGAGTTAGGTAAATCAGGATGGGGGAAGGGTGACAATTAGAGGTGGGATACCCTCAGGTCCAAATGTCACTATAGTTTTTCAATTCAGCTATCTGGATGAAGCAATATGGTCTTAGTAGCTGGAGTGCCTCCTGCCCTGGAGATTGAAGCTCTGGGTTCTAGCCTAAAATCCTCTCTAATCACTAATTATGTGTTCTTGGACAAATCCCTTCACCTCTCAGAGTGTCAGTTTCCATAACTCTAACATGAGGATAATCATCCCTCCTTTTCTTACCTATCTCAGAGAGTTGTTAGGTAGTTCAAATAAAGGAATGTATGTGAAGGCACTGGGGCGGGGCAACAACAACAACAACTATAAAATGGTGGGTGTTTCTATTGTGCCAAAGGCCAAGTCACCATAGCCCTCCTCCCTTCTGCTCAACCCACCCCCCACCCCCAGTATCCCAGTGGCTTAGCAGGAACAGAATGAGGCTCTTCCTGGAAACACTTTTGAGTCAGTGTTGTCAGTAAATTTGGGGTTGTTCAATGAAAGCCTCAGCCCTGGTTAGTCCTGACTAACAAAGAATATGGGTAATGAAGCCTAAGACTGTATAGGATCATAGGGTTTAGAGCTGTCCAGGTGAGGAAACTGTGGCCCAGCATCACATAAGTGGTAAAGTAAGAGTTGGGATTTGAACCCAATTCTTTTGACTCTAAATCCAGCACCCTTTTCACTATAATATGCTAATGAAGACCTAGGGTTCCAGGTCCCTGGAATCTTCCTTCAGTGCCTTCCAAGTTTGCAGAATATTTTCCTCACAATAGGTAGGAATTCTATATATTTGAGGATGAGGAAGCTGAAGCTCTCAGAGGTGAGGTGATTTTCCCAATGTCACATGGCTAGTAAGTGTAGAAGGCAGGATTCACATCCAGTACTCTGATGATTTCAAGTCTCGTCCTCTTTTCCCCATACCAGGTTGCCTCTTAGTATATATGAGAGTTGTCTTACAGAGGCTCTGATTCAGCCCCTGTTGATCAGGTTGGGGGATGGGGGGGTGGGCCTGCAGCGGTGCTACTTCTGAAATTCTTTTTTTTTTTTTTTTTGGCTAGGCAATAGGGTTAAGTGACTTGCCCAGGGTTATGTGTCTAGTAAGTGTTATGTGTCTAAGGTCATATTTGAACTCAGGTCCTCCTGAATCCAGGGCCGGTGCTCTACCCACTGCACCACCTAGCTGCCCCTGAAATTCTTTACACTAGAATTTCCAGACCTTTAAGTTGTTCCAGAGAGGAATTCCTGGCCAAGGCAGAAGATGTGACTTTCCATTACTCATAACAAATACAAATTTCTCAGACTATTTTTCAAGGTCTCTCACTCAATCTTCTCTGATGCAGCTCATCTTTATATTCCTTACGTGATTTTCTACTCCAGCCAAACTCTGATGATCTTCTGGGGAGTAGGACAATTATAGGCAGATGGAATGGGTTAAACTAGCATGGAACATTTTCACTTCTCCTCTTCAGTAATCCACATCCTTCCCCTCCGAAATCTCTTCCTTCAGGAATTCTTTCCCAGTTAACCTCACTGTATCCCCTCAGCACTTAGGGACTCAGTTACAGTATACTATAATTTCCACGTTTCTTTCTAATTGTGTACTATACTTTCAGGCAACCTAATTTACATAACAGATGCATCTGGGTAGTGATTCTTACTTTATTGGAGAATTTGTTCTTTTTATAAAGATTCATTAAGGTTTTTCCAGCTCACCCACTGCATTTAAAATAATTCAATTTAGAAAAATTCAGTTTACAAAACTATTTAGAAGCTCACTTTGAGCTACTATGGACCTTGCTCAGCCTCACTCACCTGAAAAGCCACCCCTTTCCCCTTCCTGGGGGAAGTTCTGGCTTTGGTTGAGAGGACCTGGTATTGCCTGGGGATTGTGCCTGGGTCTCACTTGGTCAAAGAGGCTCATGGCTAGGACAGGGAGAGATGTGTAGATCAAGTTGTAGAAAGCTATGAACCACTCATCATAGACGGTCTGCAGAGACACCAAGGAGAGAAATCAGACTAATCTCTCCTTACCTATCTCATATTGCCATTCTCCTTTCCCTAAAGGCCTGGGTTGGGGTGGGGTGGGGTGGGGTGGAGTGGGTGGGTGGGCATGTTTCTATCTTTAGGGTATGACTTAGCTATATTGGCCACACCCATAGCACAGTTTTGCCTTTCATATATCTTAACTGGGCAGAAAGCCAATTCCTGATCTAGGTTTTTTTGCCCCTAGCTTTCCAGACACTATGATCCTTCCCAAACTGAGAGCTTTATCCCACTGCCTGGGTGGTAGCTATGTTGAAGGTAGAAGGCAGACAGGCTTTCAGGTTCCTCAAAAACTACTAGGAGACTACATATGGATTTTCCTGGAAGTGTCCAAGGTTTTATCTATCTGGGAATAAAGGAATACTGATTATGAGGCTTATCTTTTTGGGGGAAGGGGAGGGCAAAATAGGCAGGCTTTTGGAGATCTTTGGCAGTAAGGACTTAGAGCCCTCCTTCCCTCCCCATATGACCCTTGTTTTTCCAGTGCTCCAAAATTCAATATAAACCATGTAAATGGTTGCTAACCCAGCTCTTCTTTCTTCCTGGACCATTTCTACATCTCTGTCCAGCTCTAGCTTTGGAAGGGGTAGAAGTTGCCACTAGGAACGGCAAGAAGTATGGTGCCCCTGCCTGACTTTTAAGCCCTCTCTTAAGGCCATTCCTGATCTATCAGTTCAGCAGGTCTCCTCCAAGGAGTCTTGAAGTTCCGTGATAGTCATGAAGATATGGGAACACCATACTCTGATTTAGCTTTTTCAGGACATGGAGCTTCCACAGGTGCGTCCAGGACTGGGCAAAACAGTGGATTGAATGGCCTAATACATCATTTATCTCCTACCTATCCCCTGCCAAGCCCTGCTTGAACTATCCCAGGGCCTTCATCAGGGCTTCTCTGAATTCTGGGAATTTTTAGATTCAGAAACATTTCAGCTTCAAATGCAGGGAAGTTGATTCTAGTAAGGAACAGGTAATTAGCTTAGGGGAAAGTAAGGGAATTAGGGTAGACCATAGCAGTGATACTGGTGACTGAACTGAAAGTCAAGCCCAGAGGTCAGAGAGTCCACATTAACATCTACCTTAATCTGGCTGAAGGCATGCCTGGGAGTACTGTAACACTGGTGCCTGACTTACCTGTGCAGAGAAGCCGGAAAAGAAGCCATACCAGAAGTGCACCAATGTGAAGGCAAAATTCTTGTAGAAGAAATAGCGGAGGAATTTACACATCCGGATATAGGACCAACGACCATGGACCAAGAGCAGGCGCTTCAGAAACTGGAACTGGGCAAAGCAGAAGTCACTGGCAAGTATGGCTTGCATCCCCTCCTGGCCACTTATGCCCACCCCAATGTGGGCAGCTGCAATGAGAACCAAGCAGTTCTTCAGCTACTGCACCTATTTCCAGGGCCCTAGGCTGGTTCAGGGTGTGAAAGACTACTAAAAGCATAGTGTAGCCCTCACCTGAACCCACTTGGCACATTTAGCTCACCTGCTAACAGGGTGGGATAGAGTGATGGATTTGGCAGTCAGGAAGATTAGGGTTTGACTCCCCTACTAAGCCAAGTTTATTTAATAAGCCATAAATAAAATTACCCCTAGTATAAAAGAAGAAAAGCTTATCTAATGCATGCAGATGATTTTCTTTTTTTATGCAGATTTTTTCCCAGTGGAAAATGAATTAAAGGAACTTTTAAGCTCCTCTACATATTTGTAGGTATTTTTCTCTAATCACAAGCATTAAAATACCAGTTTCGGGGGAAACTTAAATTTTTTTTTCCCTGCCAGGAATGGTCAACTTTTCTATTTGTTTCTGCGCTACACTGTGTTATCAGTTAAAAGGCAGAGAATTGACTATGTCATTTGCTGCCTGAAAAACTTCTTACTGCTTTTGGGATAAAAATATAAACCTCCTAGGCTGGTCTTCGAGGCCCCTCACAATATGGCTCCAACCTCTCTTTCCAGGTTTATTTCACATTATTCCTCTCAAGTTGTATTGTTAGCTATTTCTTATGCTTGGCATTCCACATTCCACCTGCATGCATTCACACAAGCCATCCCCCGGGCCAAGAAGGCCATGCTTGCCCCCATGCTCTCTCTCTTTCCCTCCACCCCCAACCCCATTTCTATCTTTCAGATTCCCTATCTGCCTTCAAAGTTCAGCTAAGGTGCCATTGTTTGCTATGTTAGTACTACCTGAAGAATGGTAAGGAAGGAAGGGCAGGACAGCCTGACTCCCCAAACCCCAACTTGCCTTTGATCATATTGACATCGTTTGCTCCATCACCAATGGCTAGTGTTGCCACATGCTTGTATTTCTTCACTAGTTCTACCACTTGGGCCTTCTGCAGAGGTGTCACACGGCAACAGATCACTGATTTGCACATACAAGCTGTCCTTAGCAGTTCCAACTCCACGGTCTCCTCAAGGGCATGAGCCTGTGGCCCCAAATATACACATTTACTCAACTGGCTACTTAGTAAACTCCTGGCCTTTACTTTTTTTGTGTCCCTTACAGGATAGGCATCTGTACATAAGGGGCTTTATTAAATACTCTCACTGTGATAGCCCAAGCTCTGATTGGCCTTTGAATATTGAACAAGCCACAAGGACAGGTCTGTGTTCCCTCATTTCTGATCCAACCCATAGAAAAACATGTTGCAGACTCATACTCAGGGTGAAACCAATGAACTGGTTCTCAGCTACAGACACTTCCTGGACCTGGAGACATAGATTCTACCTGAAGAACAAGGACATAGGGACTACAGAAGATGCAGAAGTTTTAGATGGGAAGAAGCCTATTCTCAGCTATTCTCTGAGACAGGATATTTTCAGGGAAAGGGAACCATTCTAAGCTCTCTCAATTACTTTTGTTTTGGGGTATTATGTGGGAAAGAGAAAGATATGTGTATGGCAATAAGTCCCTAAATAGGCTCCCTGAATGAAAAGGAAAGGGGTCACAGCTTCCCATTGCCCACCAGACTGTGGCCATTGATGACTAGGCCGTAGCTACCACTGGCCACTTCTTTAGGCACGATGAAGGTTTTCGTTTCTGATCGGGTAAGGAGGTCAGTTACTGGGTCTGTCCCCTGTAAAGAGCCAGGTTTCATTTTATTTCTTGCTGACCTGAAAGTGAAGAATGGTTGATCAGAACTGTTCTCTGTCTATATATCCTCCCTGGAATGGCAAAAGTTCCTTCAAGATCCTAGGACCCAAGCCAACCCTAAACCCATGCTTGCCCACCAGTATCTATTTTTTTCAAAGTCCTTCCTTTGTACTAGTCTCCATAACACTCTAACTTCCCTGTCATGTCCTTCTAAAAACTTATTTTTTTCTCCCATTCTGTCCCTTAACCCTTCATATCCTTGCAAATGATTAAACTTCCCCAATCTTTGTAGTAGGTTCTCCCAATCCCCCATATCATCTCTTTTTCTCAATACCCAGGGGACCCCAGAGGTCATCATATCTATTCTCTCTTTCATATTCCTCAACAGCCTGTCCCTCTTCCCCACTTTTTTATCTGCTTTCTGCCAAAAGGTTCTTCTCGGTCTAGCCTTTCCCAGGCTCTACATTTGAGTAAAGACACAGGAGGAAGGTAGAACCCCTAAATGACAATTTGCTGGGCTGACCCAAGACCTGGCCATAGGATGGTAGTAGCTGGGACTGCCCTCTTGAAAGTACCTGAGTTGCTGTTGGACCATGCTACTCTCCTTGGCATCTATAACGAACACCTCATCCATATCATCACTTAGCATATTGCAAGAATAGCCAATGTTCACAGCAGTCTCTGTAGAGAAGGGGATTATGTAGTGAATGAGTAGGGATGCATGGAAGGTACCCAAAGAGACATCCCACCCTCTTCAGTGATCAGGCTAAGTCTATCCTTGGCCAATTATTCCCTGGCATTTAGACAATATTACCTTTGGATAATGCCCAAGTGCCACCAAATGGCTAAATTAGCTTGCCTCTTATAGACAGGTACATATAGACATTCATCAGTACATTCCTATCAGGTATCCTCTATGAAGCTTTCCCTGACTGCCTAAGCATAGACTGATTTTTCTCTTTTTAAAAATACTGTTGTAGTATTTATAATCTACTTCCTAGTCTAGCATTTCAATCAGTATTAAACACATCATTTAGGTTAATGGTAGACTAAGTGGTATGGGGTGTCATATAAGGTTCTGGGGAGCATCTTTTCTTTCCCTACATTTATTTGAGGGGCCAAATCCATAAGGAAACAATTTGTTGTTGTTAGTCATTTCAGTCATGTCTGATTCTCTGTGCCCCATTTGGTGTCTTCTTGGCAAAGATAGTAGTGTTTGGCATTTCCTTCTCCAGCTCATTTCACAGATAAGGAAACTGAGGTAAACAGGGTTAAGTGATTTGCCCAGGTTCACACAGCTAATAAGTGTTTTGAGGCCAGATCTGAACTCAGGAAGATGAGTCTTCTTGATTCCAGACCAAGTGTTCTTATCCAGTGTGCCACCTAGCTGCTCAGGAAATAAGTAGAGACCAATAAAGTGCTAGATTATGTCGTACAGACAATAGATGTTTTAGAAATTCAAGGTAAAATGGGTCTTTGTGAATTGGAAGTTGATTTCAAGGAGGAAACAGGATTTGGAGTTGGACCTTAAACTATGGTAAGGAGACATTCCAAGCAGGGGGAACAAGATTAGCTAAGGTACAGTAGTAGGACCATGCATGTCTGTGCACAGCAAGGAAAACTGGGCTGACAGTGGCAAAGAATATGTTTTGAAAGGTTATGAGGAATAAAATGGTGGGTGTCAAGGGTCCTAAAAGCTAGAAAATGCAGTTTATTTTGCAGGTACCAGGTTACCTACCGTCATTATGGTGAATAGTGAGCAGGCCTTGGAGTCAGGAAGATTTGGATTCAAATCCTTTCTCTGACACATACTAGCTATCTGGCCCTAGACAAGTTCCTTCAACTTCTTGATGTAACTTGTCATCCATGTAATCCATAAAGACTATTAAAGTTAAAGATAAATTGTTTAATTAAATTCATGGAGGGATTATTCCACACTGACAGAGCTCTGTACCAATGAAATCACAAATCCACATCAAAAAAACAAACCCAGGTGAAGGTGTTTGAGCAGCTTGCAAGTGTCATGGGGTGGTGTGGAGCCTAACCCTGCCTTATTTTTATTGTTAATTCTAGAGAGCTTGGCATTCCTGCTGTGGCTACGGGAAGACCAGGTATTGCTAACTTGAAAAAACTGTAAGGAAATACGTTCCCATTAGAAAGTATGCTGTATCCAAGCAGAACAATGAAAAGGCACCTGTCAATTTGTTATTATCAATAAACTGTTAAATTATTTTATCTTTTTTTGTTTTCAAATTAAATTAAATGTATTTTTTTGGTTACATTTTAAGTTTTGAACTGTCTCCCTCAGTCCTTCCCCATCTTGCACTAGAGAAGGCTACCATTACACACACACACACACACACACACACACACACACACACACACACACACACACAAAAAAAAAACAAAACCCCATACTATGCATACTTCTGTTTATCAGTTCTTTCTCTGGAGGTAGACAGTATCTTCCTTCATGGGTCCTTTGTAGCTGATTTGAGTATTTATAATACTCAGAAAAACTTTTGTTTTTGTCATTCACTTTTGTTCTTTGAACAATATTGCTTGTTACCATATACAACATTCTCTTGGTTCTACTCATTTCACTCTGCATTATGTCATACGAGTCTTTCCATGTTTTTCTAAAGTCAACCAGCTCATTTCTTATAGCACAATAGTATTCCATCACAATCACATACCACAACTTGTTTGGCCATTCCCCAATTGATAGGTATCTCCTCAGTTTCCAGTTCTTTGCCACCACAAAGAGAGCTGCTATAAATATTTTAGAACATATAGGTTCTTATCCTTTTTTCCTTGTCACCTTGGGAAAAAGACCTAATAGTGCAATTACTGGGTCAAAGAGTAGACACAGTTTTATACATTTTACCTTTTTCAGAATATTCAAAAAACCCTACTAGGCCCCTGAGCATCCCTGACTCTTCCAGCACTTTATACCCTCAACTGTCTCCTAATTTTGTTCCTTGTTCTCTCTGCTAACTTTATGCCATGCTCATTTGATTTTGTTTCCCTAAGATTATAAAAAAAAAATGCCCTGCCTTGATCAGCAAGGTGGAATTGCTTCTTCATGACATGAAGACTATGTTCTCTCTGAATGTTGCATGGTATCATAGAATTTGAAAGTTGGAACGGACCGTCAGCAGCACCCTACTTCAAACCATCCTTGACGGGAATCCATCCTATGACACAGCCAACAAGTGGTCCTCCAGTATGGGCATGAAAATATCCAAAGAGGTATCACTTTCTTCTGCCTGGAAGCTGTGTTCCTCATAATACAGCCCAAGACTGCATTAGTTTTGGCTGTCATCTTACATGGCTGGCTATTGAGCTTTTAGCCCATTAAGACCTCCAGATCTATTTTAGAACAAGTGCTACCTCTCCCATCTCATGCTGTGAAGCAGATGTTTTTCTATCTAAGTGCAAAAATTTATACTTATTTGTATTGAATTAGATCTTTTTATATTCAGCCTAATGGTAGTCTGTCAAGATTCTTTGGGATCCTGACTCTGTCATCCAATATGTTAGCTCTCTCTTCCAGATTTGTGTCACCTGCAAATCTGATGAGCACACAAAATATGCATTACCCAAGCCACTAATAAAAATGTTAAACAGCACAGACCCAAGTCCAGATCCCTAAGGTACTCTCCTGGAAATCTCCTCCTATGCTGATATTGAACCATTAATTTATTAATTACTATTTGATTTTAGTCTTCCAACTAAGTTCTGAATCTATTTAATACTATTATCTAATCCACATCTCTTCATCTTCTCCACAACAACAGTATGAGGTACTTCATAAAAAAAAACTTTGCTAAAACCTAGGTAAACTATAGCATTCCGCTCATCTACTAAGTTAACAATACTGTTTTTTTTTTCTTTTTGGTGAGGCAATCAGGTTAAGTGACCTGCCCAGGGTCACACAGCAAGTTGTGTCAAGTGACTGAGGTCATATTTGTACTCAGGTCCTCCTGACTCCAAGGCCAGAGCTCTATCCACTGTATCACCTAGCTGACCCACAATACTGTGAAAAAAAGAAAATGAAGTTAATCAGGCATGATTAATTCAAGATCTTTGAAATCGTATCTAGATATTTGCCAGCCATCTCTCTTCAGTGATACTTCCTGTAATTTCTTAAGAATCAAAATTAAGTTCACCGGCCTAATGTCTGCAGAGATATTTGCCCTTCCCAGATCTTGTGATACTACTCCTGTTTTCCAAGATATTTCATATATTACTGACAATAGCTCAGTATTCATATGTGGCAGTTCTTTCAGTACCCAATGTAGGAATTGAGTGAACCACACTGACTCCATCTTATGACTTGATCCTGGATCTAGCTTGGTACCCTTTCTATTCAGTTATGGGTCTAGTCCAATATCTGTCTTGTAAGAAAACTTTATTCAGTTATAGGAATTGTGAGAAAACTTTATTGTATTGTTTGAACCTACACTGCATGGCTGAGAACCCTAAAGGACTAGATTATGCTGACCAGAAACCCAGTCAGATCTGAATATTGATACAAGGACATCTCAAGCAACTCATATGTCTTATCTGAAAACTGTCCCTGTACTGGTCAGTCAATTTCTATTTTCTTGTTCCTTTGATTGAACAGTCACTTGAGAGGAAGTAGGGCACCTCTTTTTTTGATTTCAGGGAATTGCACCTATTTGCTCTCCTCCCAACTCAGCCCCTAATCTTTGCTCCAATTAGCAATCAGATTACCTAATTTGTATCCTGGTTTATATCTTGTTGATCATTTTCTTTTAGTGCATAAAAATGTCTTTCCCTGTATCTTGGGTTGAATTCCAAGCTGAGGAAGGCCTGGTCCCGATTTGTTATGCAATTGGCATGTACTGCTTAATAAACTGATATGCTCAGAAGCTCAATATTGCCTCAGTTATTTCAGATTTCACCCATCACACCAAGGATATAGTTGATCTGGGCCAGGTGACTTGAATTCATCAAAGGTAGAGGGGTACTCTGTTATTATTTTCTTATCATAGAAGCATGTTAAAACATCATTTTTATTTCAATTGAAAATATTAAGAAGTAATGTTTTCTCTAGTTTAAAAACCCTTTCCAAATGTTTCCCTTTTAGGGAAGTGGGTAAAATAAAAGTTAAGGCCTTCCTCTTAAATGCATTAAAGGTGATCACTTATTTCTAGACTTTGTTTTGTCCATTGCCTGAAGCAAAGAGGCTGTGACCAACCCTTGGGAAATGCTCTCTTCTATTATTTAGAAGATTGCCATATTGATCCTTGGGAGGAGGTAACTAACAAACTTAGAGAAGAGTTGTCCAGATAGGAATTAGGTAGTGTAGTGGCTATTCTGGAATGTTAACCCCAAGTGATATTTTAACATATTTTAGTCTTTTCCTTGTTCAAGATTCATATAAATGTTTCAAATCATCTTGGGGTAGACATGTATGAGGGCATAGAGGGTAGGTGGGGTGGTGCAGGGACAATGCCAGTTTGGCTATTTTTCTCTATAAGTTAGATATGACTTAGATTTAGAATTAAGTTGAACTGAATAAAAATTCTTTCTGGTAGACTTGTGCCTAAAACACAAGAGTACAGGACATCTAAATGTCTTTTTTTCTTCAGTTTTCTTTTTTTCTTCAACACTTATCTTGGGTATTAACTCCCTGTTAGTTATTTTTGTTCAGTCATTTCCAGTGTAAAGATCATCCTCCTTTGCAAAGAAAATAGAAACAAAATAAAAATCGAGCAGCATTGCCTTCTCTGTCTTGCCAGTTAATAAATTAAGGCCCTGTCCCTTTTTTGATCTTCCTTTTCTCCCCAATATAGCAAAACAAAAATCCCACCTTTTGTTTTCATCAGCTTCCCTCACCAGCTTCAGCTTTCTAAGCTATAGTATTTGTGACATTTTTATGGGACTGCACACATTCTTCTATTTCTACTCTGTTCCCTTGCCTTGCTCCCATCTTCTGTACATTTCTTTTGAAAATCTAAGTTGTTGAGGCAGCTAGGTGGCACAATGGATAGAGCTCCAGCCTTGGAGTCAGGAGGAACTGAGTTCAAATCTGACCTCAGACACTTGACATTAGCTGTGTGACCCTCAACCAGTCACTTAACCCCAACTGCCTCTTAAAAAAAAATCTAGTTGTCTGGTGACTTCTTTGTGCATCCACATTGGTATCTTTGGACAAATCACATGTTTCCAGGTCACTGGAATGGTTGCCCTTTCTGTCTTCAGAATTGCATCCTTGAGCACCTCCCATAACCTCTTGGCCTGACTTTCCCTGAAGCCCTTTTGTCCATAAATTCCTACCTATCTTCCCTCTGAACCATTTGAATTGTGTCTCTTCTTTCAATTATAAGTAATAAAGAACAATTGGCTTGGCTGAGCTGGAAATGTAGAGTGAGGAGTTTATTTTTTTTTCCCCCCAACAGAAAGCTCTGCTTTGGGAAGAGTAAGGTCTTAAAAATCAGTTAAAGCAGCCTCATACTTGTCAGGATGTTAATCATCCAAAAAGTATGTGATGAGGACTGGGACCAGGGTGGTGATAATTGGAATGGAAAGGAAGGATATGGATGCTGGACATTTTAAAGAAAAATTGACAGGACTTGGTGAGTGAGTGGGCAGGATTAGAGTGAGGAAGGAGTCAAAGATAACAGATTTTTAAGGTTGGTTGATTGCAAGAATGGTGGTGGAAAAGAAAAATGAGGCAGTTATGAAGATGCCAGATTGGGGAAGGGGTGGGATGTGTTGATAAAGATGATAATTAGATCTTGTACATTTTGGCTTTGAGGTGAGAGTAGAACCTCCAGGTGGAGCTGTCTGACATACAGGTAGAAATGCAGAACCTCTGCCCATGAGACCATAGTTTTATTTTCTATTCCATGAGGGTGAGTCCTGTCTCCCAAATCAGATTGGGCCTTTGTTTCACCCTGCCAAGGGGTGGTGGTATTTATAGCTGAGGAACAGCAGACCTTAGTAAAGATGGAGCGATTTGAAGGTGGATTAGAGCTTTGGAGGGAGCGGGGGGGGGGGGGGGGGCACTCACTGTTAGCCTGCAGGCTCTTTACCTTGCTTGTCTCCAGTCAAAATCCACATGTTAATATTTGCTTTGATCAGAGTGGCAACTGTCTCAGGCACTCCATCTTGTAACTTGTCTTCAATGGCTGTGGCCCCTAGCAGCTGGAAATAAAAAAGCAGGTCTGAATTCATTCTAGGTCACTTTAGTCTGTCTTAAGTTCTGTTTCACTGAGATCAAGCAAGGATTCTCTTACCCCAACTCCCATGGGCCAGTCTGCTTCAAAGTTTTAAACCAGTTTGCCTCCATCCTTTGACATTCTTATACCCTGGTCATCTTGGTTTAACTTATATTCATGTGTTGTGAGGATAGGGCACTAAGATGTTTAGTCTTATTTACCAACTGAAACATAACTGTTGAAGAGGCTGGCCCTCTGGATTTGGATCTCCTAGAGATCCTGCATAATGACTACTCTGGGGAAACTGGGATGTGTCCATTGGTGCAGAATTCATTTTAGTAACCAACATGTACCCCTTCTCAATACGTCCGCTTAATAATAATAATATTAATGATGATACATAGCCTTTATATAGCACCTACTATGTGCCAGGCATTTTAAGATATTATTTCATTTGATCATTTTTGCTTTTCAACAAATAACATTTTCATTTCTACTTCTCAGAATGAATTGCTTAACACATACCATCTGTTCCTTAATATACATCTTCCTAAAATATATCAATTTTTCAAAACTTTCAACACACATTCAGTTCATATCATACACATTATGGTTTAAGTGGAATGAACCCTAGATTGCATTCCGAAGACCTGGTTCTGCCATTTACTAGCTGTGGGATGTTGGCCAAGTCCTTAAAGTTCTCTTAGCCTGTCTTCTCCTCTTTTAAATGGAGATATTTGCACCACTACTGCTTCTCACAATGGGTGATTATGAAGACCAAATGAGATAACATATGCCAAGTGCTATATAAATGTCCATCATTATTATTATGTCTACTTCAAAATATCCATCTGTTTCAGTCTATAAAAATGGTGTCTTCCAAGCTTTCTATTCCATTGAGAATAAATAAGATCTCTCTCTCTCTTTACCTCATTTCATGAACTCACTTTTTCTAAAACTTCTAAACCAGTCCTTTATCCTTTAAGCCCTGCTAGTTCCAGTTTACATATTTATTGTTACATATCTATTTATTGTTTCATGAAGATTTAAAAGACATTTTCATGTTTTCCTCCAACTAGATAGTTACATGGCATATGCTTTTGACTGTCCAGGGCCTAGCACATAAGCCTGGATATATAGGAGGCCTAATCAGAAGGGTTGGGTGGATATCCTTCTGCTGGGGCCTTTTAGATGGGCAGGCAGTGTGCAATGCAGACATGTACCCCTCAAGAACTGACCATGTAGGAAGATGTGTCACCTTTGGAATTTATCTTCACTCTGAATATTCCTGTTTGATACTCATTTACTTTTTTATCCTAGCTAAAAGGTAGCATGGATCCTTATGTCTTTTCAGTGGTGGATTATGTAAATCCCTCCATCTCCTCCCTTCTCTCTTAATCAGTAAAAGAGTTGAGGCAGAGATAGTGGGAGAAGCCAGAATCACCTTATTTGGCTTCAGAGGTGCAGTGGTTAGGAAATAACCTAGTATGGAAAAGGAGTAAAGCTCGGAATTAAAGACAGTAGATCATCTGAGGATTTCAATTATTCAAGAAATTCTGAAATCATTTAGATTTAGGGGATAGTACTTTTCTGATATTTTCCCAGAACTTTTCATTGTAGTGGCTTTGTCAAGAAATCACTGAATCGGGGCAGCTAGGTGGCACAGTGGATAGAGCTCCGGCCTTAGGAGGACCTGAGTTCAAATCTGGTCTCAGACACATAACACACAACATTTACTAGCTGTGTGACCCTGGACAAGTCATTTAACCCCAACTGCCTAGAAAGAGCAAAAATAAATAAATAAACAAAACAAAAAATAAATCATTGAATCAGAGCGTTAGAGCCAAAAGAGGTTTTAGGGATCATGTAGTACACAAGCCCTTAATTTTACAGATGAGGAAATGGAAAGCCGGAGATGACTAGGGTATTGAGATGACTCATGTGAGTAGTGACCCCTTCTCTTATCTTCCTCCTCCTGTTACATGAACCCGACAGATTACAGCCCTGACCCCTGAGCCTTCCTTCCCAGGAGAAGTCCAGTCCCTGCTCCCTCAGACCAATCATCATGTCTTTTTCAATCTCTTCATAGACTAGTCCTAATTTTTCCTCCCGATCTTCCATGGAAGTGCTGGCTTTATAGTGTTTTCGGCTCCAGCTTTGGAATACTTTTTCGTCCAGCTCTCGGAAGGCCACAGCAAGGGTACGCAAGCCATCACTGGCAAATTCCTGGAAGACATATGTGTTCCCAGAGAAGGTCAGGAAAGAACTGAGTCCTTTGTGTAGGGACAAACAAGAGCCAGGATTTCTCCACCAGCCAGAGGAAAGAAAGATTGAATGCTTGATGAATAGAGTCCCTGGATTAGTGTCAGGCAGCTTGAGGATTTTAATTCTCCCTACCAACCTCTCGGGAAGAAAGATATTATAGAATCTGATGTGTTACCATCGATATTATAATACCAATATTCAGGTTTATGGGCAATTATTTTAAAAAGGAATGTCTATTATACATGTAAGACACATTTAGATGTATATGGTTAATTATCTCAGTTGATTTGAGAATGGTACTAACAAGACCAAGATCATGGATTTAATTCCTGTGTTACCCAGTTAGACTTAATCTGCTCCTAGACTGATCCCTACCCCCTGTCAACTGTTTTGCAAATGTGGGCCCTTGGTCACAAAGACAACAGGACAAGAATGGATTCAGCTCAATGCTACTGATCCCCATCAGTGGAGCCACAAGTCAAAATACGTATCCTATATATCATCTTTGTTTATAAGAGAACAGCAAAGGTACATGAGCACATTTCTGTGTTAGTTCTGTTGTGCTAAACTGGAAAATGTTAACTTTGCCATAACAGGGCAAACAGAAGCACAATATGTTAATTTGCTAAGTGTACTTTCTTCTCGATGGACATTTATGGGTGTATGGCTTTAACTCTGTGGCAATAAAGATGTGAAGCCCATAGGTATTGAGAGTTCTCTGGCATCCCCATATTGCTGGGTAGAAAAGTGATAAGGCAAGGAAAAAGTGAAGGCCTAGAGGAAACTTACCTGGAAAGTAAGTAATGACGGTGGCAAAAACTAGTTCTACGATGGACCTAGATATGGGTTCTATATGGGACTGACAACATATTGATGTCTGATATAAGCACGCATGTAGAGTGACATGCTAACTGCACCTCCTACTTGTCAATTTTCATAACAAATATTCAGTTAAGGGATAGAGGTGCTGCCTTGCTGCCATTCCCTCCCTGACTCTCAATTTATTTCGCTATGCTCACAGCCTTGTAAAGGGCTGGCTGGAGCCCAAGGCTGTGTTTTTGCATCAGGATATGAATTAACCAAACACCTGCATATGCCCACAGTGTGAATTACATGCTCTCCTTCATAATCTGAAAATGAAGTTCATTTCCTTGGAGATGATAGCCTGAGCTCTCAAATGCCTTTCATTTGGATGATGAATCTAAGGTCCTGGAAACCTTTGTAACTCAAGGCTCAACAATAACCTCAAGCTTCTGTACAATAATTATTTTCTCACAGCAACATATGACACATCAGCTGTGGCCTTGGTACAGGCTAACTTGAGGCTCCGCTAATTCTTAAGCTTCAGGTCTAGTCCTGGCTCTGGTAATAACTAATGAAGCCAGAGCCCTCCATTTCCTGTGCCTCAGCTTCCTGATCCATAGAGCTGGATGGAGTATAGCCCAATAGCTGCTAAAAGCTATATCCCTAATTTTGAAGGCTGGGGACTGATTAAAGAAATTAACCATGGCATCTAAGGATCAGATTAAGGAACTGGGTATATTTAGTCTAGAGAAGACTATGTGGGTGGGTATTATAAATTATTTTTAAAAATCTGAAGAATTGTCATACAGAAGAGAGCTTATGTGTGTTATGTGTGGCTCAGAGGGCAAAAACAGGAACAGGAGAAAATGCCACCCTGCCAGGGAAAATAAGGCAGTTAAGTGAAGATGACTCTGCCTTGTGTCTCCCCCAACAGCTTAGTCCCGCAGAGCCCAAGAACTATGAGTCCTGTATAATTGAGGCAGCAGACCTTCTGGAAAGCAGAAGCTCAATCAGAAGGCAAGCTGCCGTTGACTGTCCTCATTCTGCCCTGTCTAGCCCTGATTCTTCCAATTTATCCTCATGCAAATTGCCCAGAAATTCAGGAAGATAGCGTCCACTATGTACTACCTTTAGATATGCAGCATCCGGGTCCTTCTAAATTTTCTTGCCCATCTGGCCTGTTTCTGTGTTTGACTCACAAAAAAGTATATTTCTCCATTTTGACTTGCTCAGGCAGTGAAGGTGCTGATGTCTTTTTCAGCTCTAGTGTGTCAGGTGGATCTTCACCTTCTTGGTCATTCTACCCATGCTTCAAACTGTGGACAGCATTCTGCTGGTGTTTCCCACCTTGTAAACAGCTGAATCCACATGACAATGGACATACCCTTTGATCTCAGATCTAAGCATTCTTCTAGCCCACCTCAGTCTACTAAATCTTGGCCCAGCATCTCCCTGACAAAATTTCCAGGAAGGATGGGGGAACTTTCCAGTTTCTTGCCTCAACTATGGTTATTTGCACTCTTCTAGACTGCAAAATTCAGTACAGGTAATTTGAAAGCAAGACTCCTTCTCAGCTGTTTTACTGATCAGGTAGCCTTGTGGACCACACTGTATATTAATAAGGAAAATTTCATTAGGATATTTTGAAGACTCCGTGGAGAGTTCTAGTGGGTGTCTGAATATTGTTAATGAAAGGAGGTTGCCAACTAACTGGTCAATTTCTGTAAGCAAGGGAAAAGTTCAAAAATGATTTGATAGGGAAGGGAAAGGCACAGAATTTAGAAGAGATATAGTATGTTATCTTTGGGGAGTATAGGCCGCCAGAGAGTAGAAAGAGATATAGCTGGGCCCCTGAAGGAGAAGGTGAAACAGTTATATGAGGAGATGTTTCTCAGAGCTGAAGTTGCCTGAAGGTTTGCCTGTCCCTCAGTCATTTCTAACCTTATATCTGATTATCAATCCCCATATTTGGATTTATGACAGCAGAACTATTGTGAAGGGGTGCAGGCTTAAGGAAATCAGTATTTCCTACCTCTTCATACAAGTAAAATCAGGTTAAAGTGAACTTCAGTGGTAGCCTTGAAGGGTAGTTAAGTCACAAAAAAGACATCCTAAGGGAAAGCATAGAAAAGAGTGAAGAGAAGTAAAGGATTAGTTCCACTCCCTTTTCCTTGCTGATAGGGATATACACACATATGAGAAGCTCATATCCTTGCTTAGAACCAACTGAGAGAAGTATCTCTACTGATGCGTCCTTGAATCACTGCCCAGAATGGGGTGTGTGTGTGTGTGCGTGTGCACGCGTGCGCACACACGTGTGTATGCGTACCCAAAGCAGAAGTATACTAGGGCAGCCTTTGTGTGAAAATAGTAGATTGATAGTAAAATTCCCTTTGAGACTGAGTCCCTAGCCTCCTAGTGGGAAGCAAGCAGAGCAAATATGACTTGGGCATATACACCTTCAGACACTACTCTTTTGCTGTACTGAAGACATTTTCTTCACTCCAAGTTTTTGTCCCAGTGCTTGTCAGTATGTGAGGGTCTGCCCTAGGAACTCAGTTACTAATGTCCTTCTCACAGATTATAAACTCCTTGAAGGCAGTAATCAGAGCGTATTCATTTTTGTATCTTCCCCAGTGCCTTCTATCATATTCTTCACACAACACTGAAATATTTGCTGAATTGAACTGTGCTCTCACCCTGTTTTTTACAAAACTCAAGAGCTGGAAAGGCTCAGATTGTTTGGTCTTCCTCGCTCCTGTAACACACAGAGAGATGTATGTATGGCTATGCAGACACAAAAGCACAAGGAGTAATAAACACAGACATACACAGAACTGCAAAAATATGCTCATATTCAGACACACACTAACAAAGATATATAGGTATCATACACACATGCATACATACATACATATGTACACTTATAAATATACCTACCTATCCATACAAGTATACATGCATGCATGGACACAGACTCACCATTCCCCCAAATATGCAAATGCACAGATATGTACAGATACTCAGATGCATACATGATCCATTCAGCTATACTCACATCCAAGTGTCCCATGGTCACATCTTGGAGGGGTATGCAGGATGGGTGGAGCAATTCCCAGATGATGGTGTCAGCTCCCTTGCAGAACAACATCGCCTTACCTTCAGGTGTCTGCACTATGAACAAGTAAAACAAGGGCCATCATGATTCAAGTTCTGGTGTGCTAAGGAGTCACCCTTCTGGGAAGGAAGAGGGGGAAGGCTGATGGCTATGAGATCTAGTGCCATCACTCTGACACAGAGCTCATTAAGACTATGAGAAAAGTAAATATGGTCACAGCTTTGGCCCCTGGTTGGTACCTGAGGGGCACTGCCATCTCATGGGGAATGGGTTACTTAATGGTACCAAGGAATCTCATCCTTCAAAAGACTCAAGAATGCATGGCAAGTCTTAGTCCCAAGCCATCAATTTCAAAATCCAGAGTGATGTCTGAGTTTACTGAGAGTAGAAAGTAGAGAGCTACCCATCATCCCCCAGAATATGTGCTTCTCCAGCTTTTCTCTCTGCTTTGTGAGGAGCCTGAAAATTTAAACTTAAGGGATGACTTGCCTCTGAGAATAACAGGGCTAATGTTGCTATCTGGAGCACCAAGCCGTGGGGCAGCTCTGGAGTATATGTGTGTGTGAGAGAGGGACAAAGACAGACCCACAGAATATATGTGATAGAGGGACCAGGGCACCTACCAATCACAGACATCCGCTTTCGTACATTGCTGAAGTCCAGGATAGCTAGGAGCTCATAGACTTTTGTGACACCCATTTCCATTACAGTGATCGTTTCAGACGTTCGAGAGCGAAACACAAAACCAAAATTTCTGGTAGCAGTGACAAGGGCTCCTTCATCGGGAGACTGTGCCTGATATACCAGTTCTCCTAGAGAGAAGAAAGGAGAGAGCCACAAGCATTAGGGATGAGCACTGGAGGCCCACCTAGGCTGAAGTGATGTTTTACATGAGCTCTTAAGGAGCACATTCAGTTTTTGAGGGCCAGGCTGTACCCCAATTCTGGGTCTTTCTCCCTCCCACATTCCTAATCTCTATGACCACCTGAAAATTAAGCCTGCTTAAGTCACTACTTTTCTAAGTACAGTGCAGCTTATTCACACAAGACATGGTAGATACAGGCTAGACTATCAAAAATGTGATGATAAAGCCATGTAATTGATTAGCAAATATCTGAGAACTTAGGATACAGAAGCAACTTTGATCCCAGGTCATCTACCCACCAATGACGTGACTATCTCAAGCTCTACACACAGACCAATGGGGACTGAGAAATGGACCCTGTCCTCTGGAATATACAGAAGACACAATATGCCTCTTCTGGTTTGATGTGTTGGCAGCTGTTTCAGTGCCAGGGCAGAAAACATGCTTCACAACCATATTAATTTATGCTTATATAGAATTTTAAAATTTACAAAATGCTTTCCTCACAATAGGTTACATCATGCAACCAACATGCCTGTTTCATAGATGAAGAAACTGATGCTAAGAAAGATTAAATAATGTACTAATTGTATACATAGCTAGGAAGGTCCAGAGGCAAGATTCAAACTCATATCTCCCAATTCTAAATTTAGTGCTTTTCCCATTATGTCACATGAAGACGAGAACTGCCAGACATTACAGGGGAAGGGTCCCTTGAGGCAGTTAATTCTGCAATGACCTGCTCTCTGAATATGGGCCTAGAATTGCAAGCTCTGAAATAACCATCTGCATGCTGAGAGTAGGCTAGCACAAACAACAAGCAAAGGGTAGAGTCCCTGTGCTGATTCTTATAGTCTATGCCTCTCTCGTGTTCTAGATAGAAATACATGGATCCCGTCACAGCCCTCAGTTGCAACAACTGGTTCATAGGTAGCATAGTCAATTTCTGCTGCAAGGGCCAAGTTCAATAATGATTTGATAGGGAAAGGAAAGGCATGGAATCTAAAGAAGACATGGAGACTCAATGAGCTTCTCCAAAGGAGACATCTTTGGGGGTTATGGACAGCCAGAGGGTAGGAGGTAGCTGGGCCCCTAAAGCAGAAGGGGACCAGAAGGTGAAGAAGTTATATGAGAGGAGGTATTTCTCAGGGCTGGAGCTGCCCAAAGGTTTGCCTGTCCCTCAGTCATTTCTAACTTTATCTTTGATGAGCAATACTATCTTTAGACCCATGAAGGCAGGGGTATTGTGAGAGGGTACAAACCTAAGGAAATCACATGGTGTGCCCTACCTCCACAATCAGTAGAAACTGGACTGAGAGTCAGGTGATGTGAATTGGCTTCCTAGCTCTCTGTTTAGGCAAGTCTGTCCTTCTCCTTGTCTTCTCCATTAGAATATAAGTTCCTGCAAGTAGGGACTGTTTCATGTATTCGCATAGTACCTGGCACCAGTAGGTGTTCAATAAATAAATGCTTGTTGATTCATTAATTCCTCATCTATAACAATGGAAAGATACTAATACTTGTACTACCTATTTCATAGGGGTAAAGCCTACATAAATAAATGTGAGCTATTACTGTTTATCCTTGGTATGTAGCTGTCAAAACCCCTGGGGGGAGGAGGGGGACATAAGTCAGAACCATGGCCAGTAATCTGTTTTATGGTTTCACAGTCTGTGTGTCTGCCCCATTACTTTGGCTAAGCAATACGTCAGGTTGGCTCCATTTTCTTTCTTTCTTTCTTCCTCTTTCTTTCTTTCTTTCTTTCTTTCTTTCTTTCTTTCTTTCTTTCAGGGAGGGGCCTTTTCTCCCCCAATTAATTAATTTTTAATTTTCAACATTTGCTTTTATAAGATTTTGAGTACTAAATTTCCCCCCTTCCATTCCTTCCCCCCTTTCCAAGACAGCATGCAATCTGATATAGACTATACATGTATGATCATATTAAACATATTTCCACATTAGTCAGGTTGTAAAAGAAGAATCCGAACAAAAGGAAAAACCATGAGAAAAAACAACAACAACAACAACAAAAGAAAGAGAAAACAGTATGCTTCGATCTGCATTCAGACTCTATAGTTCTTTCTCTGAATGTGGGTAGCATTTTCCATAACAAGTCTTTTGGAATTGTCTTATATCATTGCATTGCTGAGAAAAGCTAAGTCTAACGAGGTCGTTTATTACACAGTGTTGCTGTTACCGTTACTGTGTACAGTGTTCTAGTTCTGCTCACTTCACTCACTGGCTTCATTTTCAGCCTGCAGTGATATAGTAGATGGAACAAGATTTCACCTTTGAGCTGCCCTAGCCAATTTATAGTTAGTAATATGAGATTCCGATGCTCTATGACCCCAGCAATTTAAGTGATGCAGCTGACAGATCTCTGGACTTAAGAGTCAGGAAGATCTGAGTTCACATTTAGCCTCAGATTAGCTGTGCGACTCTGGGCAAGTCACTTAACCTCTTGTTTGCCTCAGTTTCCTGTAAAATGGGGATAATAATGGCACTTACTCCCATGTTGTCATGAGGATAAAAGATGATATTTGTACAGCACTTTGTAAACCTTAAAGAATGATATAAATACTTATTATTGTTGCATATTGTTTTATTTTGTATTTTCTTTAGTTACTCTGTAAAACTTAAAAACCTGATTTTTTTCTCAGATAAACTGAGATAAAGACAAATTTGTCCACATTTGTATGACCAGAGGCTATATATGGATGTGGAGGTAAAAGACAGAGGGAATACCACTCCAGACAAATCTGGGTTACTGGCCTACTCTAGAACCTGTTAATGTTGTTTCTCCTGAGTGAAGATCTAGGTGGCATGCTTATTAAATTAGTGGGTACTTAGAATTGGAAAGAGAGCTAAGATACTTGATGACAGATGCAAGATCCAGAAGTATCTAAACAGGCTAAGGTGGTAGGTTGAAACTAACAAGAAATTCTGAAAATCACAGGCGAGATTAATAAAATTAAAAGTAATAAAACCATTAAATTAATAAATAAAGCTAGGAGCTGGTTTTATTAAAAAAAACACAAAATAGATAAACCATTGGTTAATTTCATTAAAAAGAAAAGAAAGAAGAAAACCAAATTGCCAGTATCAAAAATGAAAAGGCTGAATTCACCACCAACGAAGAGGAAATTAAAGCAATTAACTGGGAGCTATTTTGCTCGATTATATGCCAGTAAATCTAACAACCTAAGTGAAATGAATAATATTTACAAAAATTAATTATTCAGATTAACAGAAAAGAAAATAAAATACTTAAATAACCCCATCTTAGAAAAAGAAATTTAAGAAGCCATCAATGAACTCCCTATGAAAAAATCCCCAGGGACAGATGCATTCACAAATGAATTCTACCAGACATTTAAAGAACAATTAATTGCAATACTATATAAACTGCATGGAAAAATAGTTGAAGAAAAGAGTCCTACCAAATTTCTATTGCAACACAAACATACTGCTGATACCAACATACGGTAAAAATGACTCAGACATAAAGAGTGATATCATAAGCAAATTAGGAGAGCAAGGAATAGTTTACCTGCCAGATCTATGGAGAAGGGAAGAACAAATGAGATAGAGAGCATTATGAAATATAAAATGAACAATTCTGATTATATTAAATTAAAAAAAATTTATTTAGTATTTAATTTTTCCCCAGTTACATGTAAAAACAATTTTAAATTCATTTTTAAAACTTTGAGTTCCAAATTCTCTCCCTTCCACCCTCCCCACCCACCCTCATTGAGAAGGCAAGCAATTTGATATAGTTTATACAATGTGTAGTCATGCAAAACACTTCCATAATAGTCATGTTGTAAAAGACTAACTATATTTCCCACCATCTTATCCTGCCTCTCATTTATTCTATCCTTTCTCTTCTTTCACCCTGTTCCTCCTCATAAGTGTTTTACTTCTGACTATCTCCTCCCACAATCTGCCTTCCCTTCTATCATTCCGCCCCTTCCCCTGCCTCCCATCCCCTTCTCCTCTACTTCCTTACAGGGTAAGATAGATTTCTATACCCAAATGAGTGTGCGTGTTATTTCCTCTTTAAGCCAATTCTGATGAAAGATTCACTCCCTCCCTCTCACCACCCCCCTCTTCCCCTCCACTGTTAAAGCTTTTTCTTGACTCTTTTATGTGAGATCATTTACCCCATTCTACCTCTCCTTTTCTCTTTCTCCCAGTACATTCTTCTCTCACCCCTTTATTTTATTTTTTAGATATCATCCTTTCATATTCAACTCACACTTATGTCCTCTGTCTATATATACTCCTTCTAACTACCCTAATAATGAGAAAGGTCTTATGAGTTATAAATATCATCTCTCCATGTAGAAATGTAAACCATTTAACTGTAATAAGTCCCTTATGATTTCTCTTTCCTGTTTACCGTTTTATACTTCTTGAGTCTTGTATTTGAAAGTCAAATTTTCTATTTAGCTTTGGTCTTTTCTCAAGAACGCATTAAATTCTTGTATCTCATTGACAATCCAGCTTTTCTTCTCATGGATTATACTCAGTTTTGTTGGGTAGGTGATTCTTGGTTGTAATCCTAGCTCCTTTGCTCTCCAGAATAACACATTCCAAGCCCTCTGGATCCCTTAAGGTAGAAGCTGCTAAATCTTGTGTTATCCTGATTGTGGCTCCATGATACTTGAATTTCTTCTTTCTGGCTGCTTGCAACATCTTCTCTTTGACCTAGGAGCTCTGAAATTTAGCTATAATGTTCCTGGAAGTCCTCTTTTTGGGCTCTCTTTCAGGAGGTGATCAGTGGATTCTTTCAATTTCCATTTTACCCTCTGGTTCTAGAGTTTCAGGGAAGTTTTCCTTGATAATTTCTTGAAAGATGATGTCTAGGCTCTTTTTTTGATCATGGCTTTCTGATAGTCCAATAATTGTAAAATTATCTCTCCTCGATCTATTTTCCAGATCAGTTGTTTTTCCCATGAGATATTTTACATTGTCTTCTATTTTTTCATTCTTTTGGTTTTGTTTTATAATTTCTTGATTTCTCATAGAGTAACATTAGCTTCCATTTGCTCCATTCTAATTTTTAAGGAATTATTTTCTTCAGTGAGCTTTTGGATCTCCTTTTCCATTTGGCCAATTCTGTTTTTTGTTTTGTTTTGTTTTTTGCTAGGCAATGGGGTTAAGTGACTTGCCCAGGGCCACACAGCTAGTAAGTACTATGTGTCTGAGGCCGGATTTGAACTCAGGTCCTCCTGAATCCAGGGCTGGTGTTCTATCCACTGTGCCACTTACCTGCCCCTGGGTACTATATTTTACAAATGACATTGACAAGATGAAATGCATGCAGAGGAAGGTGACCAGAATGGTAAATGAATTGGACACTATGCCATGGTAGGACAAGTTGAAGATCTAGGGTTGTTAGTCTGGATATGAGGTTTGATGGGGAGGAGGCACATGACAGTCTCCAAATATATGAAAGTTTATTGTGTAGAAAAGGGATTAGATTTAAAGGCAAAACAAAGACCAATGAGTGGATGTTATAGGGAGGTAGATGAGATTTCTCTGTAAAGAAAAAGCTTCCTGATAATTAGAGTTGCCCCAAAAATAGAAGGTCTGAAAAGATAGTAATTCACTGTCACAACAGATTTTCAAATGGAGGCTGGATGACCATTGTTAAAGATGTTACAAATACAGATTAAGGGTGTTACAGCTGAGATTTATGATTTGTAGAGAATGGACTAAACAAATGACTTCTAATGTTGCTTCCAATTCTAAAAGTTTATTATTTAATCCTGCTAGAAATACTTCTACAAAATGAATAAAAAGCAATGAGATGAATTTTTTTTTCATATAATTCATAAACTGACTCTGAAGGAATCAAAAGCAGAGTTTTAAAAATTTCAGAGCATCAATGATATCATTTTAATGGCAGAATTAGAGAGGCAGTGTCATGTAGTGGAAAGAGCATTAAGCCAAGAGTCAGAAGATCTCTGACACGTATGAGCTACATTAGTTGGAGTAAACCATGTAACTTTTCTGTTCTTCAATTTCTTAATCAGTAAAATGGAAATAATAATGCCTATCCTTCCTACTTCATTGGGCTAATATGAGAATCTCAAAACGAAATGAATGTGAAAGCATTTTGAAAATCAGATGTTACATAAACAGGATGTATTATTATTATTATTATTGTTATTATTTTTCCATGAAAACCCTACTCCAATGCTTCATCATATTACTGAGGTAACACTGTGCTCCTGAAGGCTATGCTGGTAGAACATCAGCTCTCAGGCCCTATTTGATTGGAAAGTTTCCAATATTGAGAAGAACACTTGGAATTGTAAGGAGGCAACTCCAACTTTTCTGAGTTCTAGTTTGCTTACTGGTAGAATAAATGTAACAACACTTGTACTATCTACTTCACAAGCTTGTAGTGAAGAAATCATTTGTAAACCTTAAAGCACTATAGCAATGTAAGCTATTATGATCTCAGCAACCAACTCTTCCTTTCTTTGTTTCTGCTTATCTGTCTGTCAATCAATCACTCTATCTATCTAAATATCTATCTATCTATCTATCTATCTATCTATCTAAAGATAGCCTAGGTTTAAAGGGCTTCATTACCAAAAGGTTCATTGCCAGCTGATTATATTTTTTTTCAGCCACAAAAATTCATGAAACTGTTGACTTAGGCATGGAGAAGAGTTGCTACCTGGAAGCACAGGACCTATACTAAAGAAATCATAGATTCTTTAAATGTAGTACTTAAGTAAGCATAATCATTATTGTTAATAGTAACTCAAATTTATTTGTCAGTCTATGGTTTACAAAGAACCATATAAGTAGGTAATCTCTAAATGTGACATTTTGAAGGACAACAGTCATTTGCATGTATAAGTTCTGTTGTGTTATGGAAGATTCAGTCTCATTGCTTTACAGTGATACCTTGCACAAAGCTTCAGATAAAGATTAGATAAAAGACTTAAAATATGATGGAGACATAATAAGCTGCTATAAGAAATTAATATGTTTAGTGACATACTTAAATTGTGAGGTACTATCAGGGAGAGCAATCTTGAACCATCTTTTGGTGTCCCCACAATAGACAGTATCTTTAACTGGTGGGATCTCCAATTGCAGGAATTGATCTCAAGCACTCAAAGCCTGGCCCCATGGACTTTGTAATTGGACATCATATGACCTCAGGTCCCAGCCCTTCTCTTACCTCCCACCTTTTCTTCTGACATCACTGTGTGACAGAGTGAGAGGGAGAGAAAAAAAGGTGGATCATAGTATCTCCTTTTTTTATGGCTTCTACTAAAGTCTTGTCATAAAATGAAAACTTAGGGTCAGCCAGTTTGTTGTAGGAGAAGTCAACCTTCTCTGTATCCTAGAACACAAGGACAAGAACAATTATTCCAGCAGCAGCTGTCAAGGTCTCTTAGGGAAATGCCTGGATTTTTTAGTTGACCTAGACACTCTAATTTCTAGGTCTGTGGAGACATTTCCTATGTAGGGGCCTTCTGATCATGTTCTAATTCTTTTTTTTTTTTTTGCTTTTGCTTTTTGGTGAGGCAGTCGGGGTTAAGTGACTTACCCAGGGTCACACAGCTAGTAAGTGTCAAGTGTCTGGGGCTGGATTTGAACTCAGGTCCTCCTGACTCCAAAGCCAGAGCTTTATCCACTGCACCACCTAGCTGCCCCCACCTTCTAATTCTTAAAGCTCATTTCCAGGACCCAGCTCTATCATACTGCTGCTTCAAGGATCTTCTAGGTCCTTCACCCTTTCATTGCATCCTCTCTTGTCTTCACCAGAACTCATTCTAGTAACTGTCTCCTGTCTCTCTTTTGCATTTTTCAATCTTTCCTCCTCTACTTGGTCCTTCCCTTCTACAAACAAATGTATTCAGATTTTCCTTCTACAAAACAAACACACACTTTTCTTTAACTGCCATCCCAATAACTGCTGTCCTGTCACTGTCCTTCCTATTAGTTCTTTTTTGAAAGGGTAATCACTACATCTACTTCTTTTTGATCCATTCATTCTTCAAACCTTTCTACACACTGTAAAAACCACCCTCAAGTAATCAGTATCATCCTAACCAACAAATCCCAAGGCTTTTTTAGACTTCATTCTTCGTATTCTTTGAAGCATCTGTCATTGTTGAACACTCCCCTTCTTATAAATTCTCTCCTTTATTAAGCTGCTCCACTGTGTGTTCTCCTCCCCCCTTTCTGATCACTTTCTCTGGTCCTTCTTATTCCTCTCACCCATGAAATATAAGTTTTCATTTCCGTCCTTGATCTCTCTGGAGCTCTAGCTCTACAGATGTACCTGCCTGCTGGACAGCTCCACTGGATGCCCTATCATCACCTCAAACTCACCATAACCTCATCATAATTAATCATCTTTCCCCCCACAGATCAGCTCCTCTTCACTTCCCTATTTCTTACAATGACACCATCAGGCTTAAACATCTAGAGTTACGACCGTCTTCTGTCTTTCCCTCACTCCTCAAGTCTTTTCAGCCATCAAGTCCTGCTGATTCATCTTTTATAAGGTCTCAGGTACCTGTCCCTTCTTTTCCACTACTACTAACTAAATTCAGGCAAGCTCTTATGATCTCACAGTTGTACTATTTTAATGGCCTTGTAAATGATCTTCTTGCTTCCAGTATTCTTTCTACCACCCCCACCCCCACCTCCATTAATCCACCCCGTTTACTGTCATCAGATTAATCTTTCTTAAACAATGGTTTGACCATATTATCTCCCTGTTCAAAAATCTTCAATGGCTTTCATTGCCAGTCAAATAAAGGGGAAATTCCTCAAACCTGGAAAACAAAGTTGTCCAAAAACATGGCTTCAATAAGCCTTCTTAGTCTTATATACTTCAGTTAACTTGTGCTTATTAATCTTCCCCAAGTAGACCTAATATTTTTATGTCTTTATTTTTAGTTCATGCTTTTCCACTCATCGTTTAGAACAGTAGGATCAAACTCAAATAGAAGGGCAGCATACTGATACAGAAACCCACAAATTAACATTATCTCTGTTGTATTTTTATTTATTTTATTAAATATTTACCAATTACATTTTAATCTAGTTTAGGCTACACTCAGGAAATCTGGGGGCAGCCTATGGTCAACAAATTTGATATTTCTAATGTTTTTCCCCTCCTCTCTGTTATAAGCTTATTCATCCTTCAAAAACTGGTTTAAATGCTACCTTCTCAATGATATCGTTTCTGATTTTTCCCCAACAAAGAGTTATCTCATTCTCTGAAATCCCATTTTACTCTGTATTATATAGTACTTAATAACTGTCCTGTTTGTGTAGGTTCAGTCTTTCCCATTAGACTGAGGAAGGGGCTCTATCCTTGGATATATAGCAGGTGTTGCATTAAAATTTGTTAACTTGTTCTTTCTTCCCAATAATTTCAACACCTTCTCCTACTAAATAGGCTGGGTTCCCTTTTTTTTCCATACACATTTCCATCTTTGACTTTTCTCATGCTTTCCCCCCCCATTTGGAATGCCTTCCCTTCCCTACTTGTTCAAATCCTATTTGTCTTTTAGGACACAGCTCATATCTTACCTCCTCCTTCCATAAAGCCTTTCTTGACTCCTCTGATCCACAGAGTAGTCTCTGTTTCTAACCTCTAAAATTGTTTATGCTACTTATAGATAATAATAATAATAATAATAATATATTATCTCTTATTGGTATTTAACCATTTGATGTACATGATTCTTCTCTCCCTAGATTATAATCTCTGTAAAGCACCTATAAGAAGGTACTTTTTCTTTTTTCCTGTTTATACACTGGGCACAGTATTTGTTAACTTGAAGTCAAATATCTATCTTGTCTTTTTTTCCCTTTTGAAGTCAGATCCTTTTTTCCTTTTTTGTTATTCTATACTTCTTTCCTGATAACTTTTTAATCAATTGGGTGATACTGGGAGAGAAGGAAGCTGAAACAAATGCTGTTGCTTAATCACCTAAGGTCTCAGGTTTGCTATCCATCCAGAGAAACAATCTTATTCTTCCATGAAACCTACCTATAAGGAGTAAACTGAAGTAGCCAGTGAGGCTTGGCAGATCTAATGACTACCCTCCCCTAAAGTGGGATGTGCATGATCAGGTCACAAGGACTTTGGGGGCTGGGGTTAGTGAGATCTACATCGTCATGGGATCCAGGGTCAGGGATGTAGGCCCGCATTACGGAAGCCAAGGCGATATATGTGTGCCCACGTCATGTAGTTGGATATGTACCCATTTCAGGGACTAGGCCTGTGTCAGGGGGTCATTTTGTAGTACATTGGCACAGGCCTTCAAATTTGCATGCAGATTTCTCAAGGAACCACGATGTCATCTCTTACCTCTGTGATTTCCATCTTTTGTCCAGTCATACTGTAGATATCACCTGTTGGGAAATGGATCTTGGATGTCATTCTGACACAGAATTATATGCCAGACATTTTGCAACCCAGCCCAAGAATCTAATTAAAAAATCAAGTAATAATGTATTGCAAACTGTCTGGACGAGGGTAAACAAGTCTAAAAAAGACCCTGATGGTCCCTGTGCATGATTTTTTCATTCCTAGATCTTCAAGTCCTTGATTCACACTTAAACCTTCCTTACAAGCTCACCAGTGAATTTTCTGTTTTTCCTCCCTTCCTAAATCCTGGTCATTAATGGGAGGAGAGTTAGGGTACCAGTTCTGCTCTCTTAAGTGAAAATGAATGGACAACTGGGAAATAAGTGGCACCAGAAGGAAGTTTCTTGGTAACTTTGCAGTGCATACATGATATCAATTCTCAGGTACAGGTTATTTTTTATTTTAATTTTATTTTTAATTTTTTTTTTTTTGGTGAGGCAATCAGGGTTAAGTGACTTGCCCAGGGTCACACAGCTAGTAAGTGTCAAGTGTCTGAGGCCAGTTAGGTACAGTTTAGAGAGAATGTGGGTATGCACTGGAGTAGATGGCCTCCAAAGTTTGTCTTAATTTTATCATCTTATGCTTTCCTCACTTAGCAAGTTTAAGCTGGTAACTGCACAATGTGTGAAGATGCCAGAAAGATATGACTCTGGATAGGTTAGTCTATAGCAGACTGGCACAACATACGGCCTGTAGGCTGCTTGTGGTCCGCCAAAGGATTTTGGGTGGTCCAAGAAAAATGTAGAGTTGCCACTACACACTCTCTTGTTTGTCATGTGACCTGTGGCAACCTACCATCATCAGTCTGTCTCTAGTCTAACCCATCTGCGACCTGAAGAAGTTTAGCTTATTTTAATTTTGGCCCCTACCCACTGCCAAATTGTGCAGGTCTGGTCTATAGGATTCATCAGTGATTTAAGTCTTCAAAGGAGCTACCAGTATTCAGAGAAGGCACGTAACTAGTATACGAGCAATTTAGTATAGATGCCAGAATGTTGGACTTGAAGTAATGAAGACCTGGGTTCAAATCTGGCCTCTGATAGATATTCTTTTGTCATTTTTTTTATAAGCTGCGTAACTATGGGCATTGTAAAATACGGATAATAATTGTAGTTACCCATCTCACAGAGCTGTGTTAAGGCTTATATAACACAGTATGTGTAAAGCACTTTTGTTCAGTTGTTTTTCAGTTGTGTCCAATTCTTCAACACTCTATTTGGGGTTTTCTTGGCAGATACCGGAGTGGTTTTCCATTTCCTTCTCCAGCTCATTTTACAGATGAAAAAAAACTGAGGCCAATAGTGTTAAGCAATTTGCCTAGGGTCATACAGCCTGAGGCTAGATTTGAATTTAGGAAGATGAGTCTTCCTGACTCCAGGCATGGCACTCTCCACTGTGCCACCTTAGCAGCCCTGTGCTATCTAGCACCTTACAAACTTCAAAATGTTGTAAAAATGCCAGTTATTATTTTCTTGAGAAACAATCTAGTACAGTGGAAGAGCATAGACTTGGAATCAGAGGAGCTTGAGTTCAAATCCCATTTTTGACACCTAGTAGTTTTGTGACCATGGATGAGTCATCTCTGATAAGGCTCACTTCTGAGCCTCAGTTTCCTCATGTGTAAAAAAGGAGATAATAATACCTTTAGTACTTAACTCAAAGAGTTATAAAGATGTGATAATTTAATAATAATAATATTTTTATAGTATTTTGCAAACCTTAAAGTGCAAAATGAACGTCAGATATCATTATTGCATATAATCAGAGCAAAGCAGAATTGTGGTAGCACAAAGAAAATGTGAGATGTGCAAATCTAGAGACATCTCCATCCCAAAAGTTTAATGGGACCATTTGTGCCCAACCTGTGGGAGAGCTTTTCAGGCCTGTATTGGACTTGACTAATTAGGTGATGGTCTAGATATTCTTGGTAGGGGAGATGGGTCATGTGTTCATTACAGTAATGCCCCCTGGATCTTCATCAGTCTTAACAACAATAAAAATCACTTATACAGTGCCTTAAAATTTGCAAAGTATTTTATATATGTTATTGTATTGAACTTCATAAAAACCTTGAGTTAGGTAATACAAGTATTATTATTCAACCTTTGATCCTATCTGTGACACTAACTAAATAAAGTACTTATCTCTCTTAAAATATGAAAATATCTCGGCCAAAAAAGATCCATCAGAGGCAATCAGGACAAGATCTGAACTGGCAGGAATACAAGAAAATATTGGAATGCTCTGATTTGTGGCTCTTCTTTATCATTTTTAAAATATGTCTCCCTCTTCCTACTAAAAGGGTCATTGTTCATAGACATTTATAGGCAGGGGCCATATAACACACATACACATATACTTTAGCTTTGGGAATATGGGATAATCTGCAAAAGCCACAGTTTATGAAATCAGGCAATGAACCTCAGAGTCACTGATCATCTTTCTACCTTCCCTTGCAATACCTTCCCTTCCAATAAAAGGGAATACCCTTTTATTGGCTTTTCCCAGGACTTAGTCCATGGAGGAATTCAGAGAAGGGTGGCTGTAGTGATGTGTTTTCTTTGCCACACTGAAAGGGTTAAAGGTATAGCTAGAGTTGGTTTGGAGCACATGCAAACATTTAAGCTTACTGATTTTAGGGTTGGATGATTTATGAAGAGTATTAATATCAATGCCAGATTTTACCATACCAGATTATAAATTGGTAACAAAAGGATTCTGATAGAAAGTAAGATGTGTATACCGTATAACTGCCCGTTAATGGAGCACTTGTTGAAAATCATGATATTCTGAGTCAGTGTCCCCGTCTTGTCAGAGAACACATACTGGATCTGGCCTAGTTCCTCATTCAGAGTTGTGGTACGGGCCTGGGCTGGTGTGTTATTGGGGATGTAAAACATTTTTCGATCCCAGTTGATGTAGAAGCTGTTGCCCAATCGTATTATCTCTACACTGAGGAGAAAGGAAAAGAGGGAACTCTGGTTAGTGTGGGATGGAAAGTCCTTCTCCAGGGCTCCATTGAAGATAGCAGAGTAAGGGAGGGAAATCTTCTAATTAGAGAAATGCCCAAATCTAACAAAACCTCTAGAAAAAACATGAAAAATGAAATTAATCTGAGAAACAATGAGAAAAATGAGAAAAACCTATATAACTAAATATTCTGCATTATAAGAGAAACAAAAGAAAAATTCCAACAGTTTGCAATACCTAGATCTCCAAGGAATGCTGAGTGAGAAGCTTGAATGGATAAATAAATAAACACTGAGTAACTGGGAAAAAATTATGAACAAACTTATTTTAATACTTCAAGAATCTGCGATTTCATTGGTGTGTGTGCCTTCTCCACTGATCTAGACTGCAAAGTATCTGTGACTTAGGTGGTCTTCAAGAATTGTTGTGGCTGAAAAATTTATCACCATGCAACAAATCGGGTGATAAGACTCTCTGAATCTAGCTAGGCTAATACTCAGACAACAAAATCTATCATTAGGCTTATACGTGAAGTATTTCCAGTTTGGTAGGCCCTTACAGAACTTCACTTCAATGGCAGAACCCTTTGAGAACTCAGTCATCTGCATGCCACAGTATTTTTTTTTCCTTGAATTTAATGTTTAATAGAGGAAAAGGAAAACAGTATAGGAGAACTAAACATCATTGGAATCAGCAAAAAGCAGAATGTTGAAATTGAGTAAAGAACAACAGAGAGTGAGGGGAATTTTAGCAAGCTGGCAGAGAAAGTTGTTGTGACTAGGCCCAGATTTCCTGTATCACCTCAAAACAAAGACATATGCAGCTTTTTTTTTTTTGGTAAGGCAACTGGGGTTAAGTGACTTGCCCAGGGTCACACAGCTAGTAAATGTTAAGTGTCTGAGGCTGGATTTGAACTCAGGTCCTCCTGACTCCAAGGCCAGAGCACTATCCCCTGTACCACCTCGCTGCTCCTAAGGCATATGTGTCTTTTTTTTAAAAAAAAATTATTTATTTTTAGTTTTTAACAATCACTTCCACAAGATTTTGAGTTCCAAATTTTCTCCCCATCTCGCCCCTCCCCCCACCCCAAGACAGCATGCATTCTGAATACTCCTTCCCCTAATCTGCCCTCCCTTCTATCACCCCCTCCCCTTCTCTTATCCCCTTCCCCTTCTATTTTCCTGTAGGGCAGGACAGATTTCTATACCTCAATGCCTGTGTATCTTATTTCCCAAGTGCATGTGAAAACAATTTTTAACATTTGTTTTTAAAACTTTGGGTTCCAAATTTTCTCCCTTCCTCCCTTCCCACTCATCCTCATTGAGAAGGCAAGGAACTTGTTACAGGTTATACATGTGTAGTCATGCAAAACACTTCCACAGTAGTCATGTTGTGAAAAACTAACTATATTTCCCTTCATCCTATCGATATATGCATCTTAAAATAAAATAATAACAACAATGAAAAGATGAAGAAAGAAAAAATCTTCATAGGACAAAATCTCATAGGAAATCCAACAGAAAAATGGAAAAAATCAGTAAACAAAAATAGGATTCCAATGCAATGAATAAATACTACAGAGTTAAATTAAGAAAAGCATCTTTATAAGGACAAAACATGGCTACTATGACAACTATACCTCTAGAAGACAGAATGGACATAGACACTGCAAGAATCCCCAGAATGGTTTAGAATATGCTCAAGGAAGAATTTAAAAAGAACACAATAACCGACAAGGTAAAACAAATGGTAGAAAATATCAGTGAAGGATTAGATGCTCTGAAGAGTAAGAACAGTTAAAGGAGGAAAAAATATTTGAAGATGCAAGAAATAAATGTAACAAAATGTAAAAAAGTGGCAAGAAGGAAAGATCATAGCTTTAAAACTGAAAGGTAAGTTAGACGTTATCCAACCATATATCCAACCACATAATCCAACTTATTTTACAGGTGAAGGAACTGAGGCCCAAAGAGATTAAATATTTGCTTAAGATTACCATGTAAGGCAGTTAAGTGGAAGAGTCAGGATTTGAATCTAGTTTTCTTAACTCCAAATCCAGAACTTTTTGTTTTTTTACACTATACCATGAGAATCCCTACAAAACAAAGCAACAAAGCCAGAGGACAGATCAGGATGAGGCAATATGAGGATTACTGGACATTCAGAAAAATACTAATAAAGAGTTAGAATGACATATCTCAGGAAACCACAGAAGAAATTTGCTCAGAAGTATTTGGAGAGGGTGGAGTACAAATTGATAGACTACAGAGGATATTGCAAAAGAGGAACCCTAAATTTAGTTCATCCAGAAAGTAGCCCTTAAATTCTAGAATTTCAAAGTTAAGAAGAGATTCTTGCAAGCAGCCCAAGAAATCAATTTCTATATCAACAAGCACTAATTTGAATTGTGTAAGACTATTCACATGAGAACAAGATATCAAAGAGGCTAGAGTATGAAATACTAAAAAGGGAAATTGATTATATCCCAAGATTACTCATTCTGCAAAACTGAATGTTAATCAATCAATAAGCATTTATTAAATATCAGCTATGTGCCGGGCACAGTGGTAGGCACTGCAGAGAAAAGCACAAAGAATGCAACAATCCATACTGTCAAGGAGGTTACATTCTAATAGGGAGGATGAGTACACATGTAAATATGTATAGCATAAATATAAAACAAATAAGCATAAATATGCAAATTTATAAAATATATGGTAGTTTTGGAAGAGGACACTAGTAGTTAGGGGGATGAGGAAAGGTTTCACACGGAAGATGGTACTTGAATTAAGTCTTAAAGAATACAGAGACTTGGGGCAGCTAGGTGGCACAGTGGATAGAGCACTGGCCCTGAAGTCAGGAGGACCTCAGTTCAAATCCAGCCTCAGACCAAACACTTGACACTTACTAGCTGTGTGACCCTGGGCAATCACTTAACCCCAATTGCCTAAAAAATAAATAAATAAATAAATAAAAGAATAGAGAGACTCTTCAAGGTAGAGGTAAAAAGGAAGTGCATTCCAGGTCTACAGGATAGCCAATGCAAAGACACAGAGATGAAAGATGGAGTGTTGTATTTGAGTAAGGTGAATTTGTTATTCTTTTTTAGATAATAATTCCCAGGATCCATGGCCATAACAACCTCTAGTTCCCAGGCTCATGGCTTATAAACCATCTCCCCACATTTGCACAGTGGTATATAATGATAAATAATATAAACACTTGTGCTTAAAGTCATAAATATCCACTGTGACTGTGCAATGAGATATAACGAGATAATGTAAACTTGTGAGGCTATTGCCGGCAAATTGCCTTCTTTGTGTGCTTCTCTATAAATATATGTATTTATATTTAAATGTATTTAATTAATTTATTTAAATTATATACAAAAGAGAGCACTGGTCAATAAGTGGTGAATCTGTATTTGCCTCTACCAGCCCCCAGTGAGGCTTAGGGGGATTTGGGGCATGCATGGAGGAATCTGTGTTTGCCTCAACTGGCCCCTACTGAGACTTGATAGGATTTGGGGAATGCACAGGGAAATGCATGTATGTCTGCCTCAACTGGCCCCCACTGAGACTTAGGGGGGAATGTACTAGCTGGAATGCTGTGCCTGCCTTGACTGGCTCCCATCAAAGCTTGGGGGGATTTGTGAATGTACGTGCTTATCTGAAGTGGCCCCCATCAAGATTTAGGGGATCCTGTAGGAGTTGGAGCTCCTACTTTGTATATTCTTGCCTGCCCTTGTGAGAAGAGTAATTAGGGATGCTGTAGGAGTTGGTGCTCCCATTATCAGTAACCCCATTGAGATAGAGTCGAATAGAATAATGTGAGCTAATTATTTATCCCTTCATTATATCTCCATTTCTGTCTTTCTGTTTGCCTGGATCAAGAGTGAACCTGCTAGAAAAGCTCCTGGTCCAACTCCAGTGTCTCCTGTGTAACACTAGGTTGTGCTACCTGTCGCAATGATGAGAAGTAGAGAGGCTAATTTGGATGGATGGCAGAGTAGGGGAGATGGAGTAACATCAGTGAAGGTAGAAATATAAGTTGAGACAAGGTTGTGAAAGGTATTAAAGCTAAGCAGAGGAGCTCATTTTCTTATTGTAGAGGCAACAGGAAGGCACAGCAGTTGACTGAGTGTGGTGGGGGTGTCACACAGTCACTTAAAGAAAGTTACTCAGGCAGCAGTGTGTAGGATGGACTAGCGTGGTGAAGGACTTGAGTCAGGGACACCAATTAGGAGGCTGTTGCAATAATCCTCTAGGTGAGAGGAGATGAAAGTCTGAATTAAAGTGGTAGATGTATGAGGAAAGAGAAAGGATCAGATACAAAAGATGTTTTGGAGGCAAAGCAACAGGATTTAGCAATTGGTTTGATATCTAGGATGAGGGAGTGTTAGCAGTTGAGGATAATGATGAGGATACGAACCAGGGAGACCAGAAGGATGACCATATCACTGATGGAAATAGAAAAATTTGGAACAAGAGGGTTTGGGGGGAAAGGCAATGAGTTTGGTTTTCGACATGATGAGGCTGAAATGTCTCCAGGACATTTAGAAATGTCCAATAGGCAAATGGTAATGTCAACTGAAGCTCAAGGGAGATACAGGGGTTTGACACACAGATCTGAAATTCTTCATAGAAATGTTAGTTATGGGAACTGATGAGGTTACCAAAAGAGAGAAGCAAAAACTGTCTATTTTCTAACTACTTCCCCTCTACAAAGCAATTCACAACACAGTTCACCTGCCTCCTACAGCTCTTCCTCTACTAGCTTCATCAGCTCTTACTCAAGACTGTATTGTCAAATCTTACATTATTATGACTGGTCAGCTCTACCAGCTCCCAGGCCCTTGCTGAATTCAACAAATATTTACTAAGTTCCTATTGTGTGCAGAGCACTGTGTTAAGGCACTGGGGGAAGTACAAAGTATAGAAAAGATATAATCCTTGTCCTTGTAGGATTCATAATCTTGAAGG